TCTTAAATTTAACTTACCTTAAACTGTAGGAACCCTGAATACAGCTGGACTAAAAAGCAATAAGTATTACATAAAACAAAGTAAAAAAACAAACAAAAAATTGTCATGTTCTGCTCAGATTAAACTAAAAGCCAGCTTTAAAATGATCAAATGGTGTGATCAGCTGTAATGTTTAAAGGTAGACTTCCACAGAGCAGGGGACACCTGGAACAAACTTCATCACCTCTGGTTTCTGTGGTTGGATCTGGAAATCTCTAGGAGCTGGTTGACTAGAGTTAAGACGCTCCCTTATTTAAAAATGAGCAATAAATAATTTGACGTCAGGAATATCGTCTATCAAAACCAAATGAAAATGTATTTGTGTTTTGATTAATCATCTCTTTCTGTTTGTGTTTTGTGTGACTCCTGGATATGACTCCACGCAGAGTTACCAGCAGAGGAAGGTAATGGTCTTTCCTGACATCACTGTCMCTGATGGCTTTCTGTGATGGATCACTTTAAACATGTGCTCTGTCTCCAGGGAAATCATTATGGGAGCTCGTCCTCGAACAGTTTGAAGATTTACTTGTTCGAATTCTTCTCCTGGCTGCGTGCATATCTTTCGTAAGTCTTTAGTTACGTTTTGAAGTTTGTTTTTTTATCAAAATGTTGATGCGCAGGCTGTAAGAAGTCGAAGAAGCTCACTTCCACCACTGTCCACATTTTTACATAAAGTCCCAACTGCGGATGAAATTAGAAAGAAGTCTGGCGTGACTAATGGCAGACTTGGTGCAGCTCATGTTGTAATGCTGAAGTGTGAACGGCTTCAGTTTGTTGAGATTACACTCACTTAGAAGGGAGCTGAACAGCTGAGGAGGCTGTCGGCTCATCTGAGGAATGGTGACAACAGCAGAGTCGCTATCACCCGGTGCCATGTGCACCGAGCCTGACTGCTGTGCAGTGACTGAACCTGGCCTTTCCTGGGCCACCGACAGATTAGAGATAGTGAGTGTTCTTGTGTAAGGACATCTTCATATTAGAGACCTTTCACACCAGAGCAGGGCTATTCAACTAAATAGCTCAGGGGGGCACAGTTATGTAGGGGTCACCTCAAGTGAAGAAACAGGATTTACTGCCTCGAAGCAGGCCTCGGACAGGCCTGACGAGAGGACAGGAACTCTGTTACAAACTGARCTCTATTTAGGCCATGACAGGTCATTCTAACCGTGGAAGAGAACCCCTCAGTTCTCTTMRTCAGRTAATGGACAGAACAATCTCTTCTGTTCGTGATTGATTTGTTGTTTAACTAAGAATGTTTATGCATTTGTTTGAAGCAGCTTTGTTTAGCGTACGGTGTCCAGGACAAATTTCCCTTTGGGGACAATAAAGTATAAATCTCTAACAAATATTAACACTTGGAGTTTGTGTTGGGCTGATTCACAGCTACAACCATACCAAATTAAAAACTCTCTTTTGACAACAAGCAACAACCAAATACTGATTACAAAAACATTTTAAGGTAAAATGGCTTCAAAGATCTGCTGTGCACAGACTCCAATATGGTGACACTTATACTCTGGAAGTTACAGCAGTCACTTCCTCCAACTTTATTTATGTTGATGCACAAAAATCTGTGTTTGAAATGACTCCCAGCTACTACAATATTATCTGAGTTGATGCAATGTTTGTCTTTGCCAAGGTTAATTCAAACGTTCTAACTCCATCTTTAATGTGATAGTGTCCAAAAGTTAATCAGATGTAAAAATCCCTCCTGTGAACACTCCTGGGAGTTTCAATCAAAATCTGTCTAGTGGGGTGGGAAATTTTGCTAACAGACAAGTTAACACACATTATTGTAAACATTTCAGGGCAGCATGATGGCATCTGTAGGACTGGAATTAAYGTTTGCTGCTGTGCAATTTGTTCCTGCAAAGTTACCTTTTTTATATTCTTAAAACAGCTCAAATCCAGATTAACAGATGGCTGAGGAACTTTTTGATAACTGAGACTCCCTCTGTGTGTGTGTGTGTGTGTGTGTGTGTGTGTGTGTGTGTGTGTGTGTGTGTGTGTGTGTGTGTGTG